CCTCTATAATGTTTGCATGCTAATTCAAAAGTCAGCAATTTGGTATGCAAGGTGTGTATATATATACATGCATATGTGTTTGTAAGCAAGTTGTTGTTTGCTTTAGCTAACAATCATATTTATTTGCGCCCGCTTTAGTCAAATAAAATAAGACCAGGAATAGCCTAATATTTGCTTAACTCAAAATCGTTGTTGTTTTTGTTGCACTTGTGAATTGTGCTAAGTGTATTTATGTGTGTGTATGTGTGCCTACATAAGTTTTCATTAAATCGCAAGCACAAATTTATGCTTGTGAGTATATGTGTACATTAGAGCGGGTTGATTTACAGGCTGCCAAAAAATTTTAATAAGTGCATATATGAAGTCAAAAGCTCAGCAATGCGCTGAAACTGGGTTAATTCATTAATTTGTAAATTTATTGCCACGTTGATATGCCTAAATTATTACGTTTCTTATCTATCAAAGTATTCACATTTATAAAGCTACTTACAATTCGTTCCATTAATATGCAAAGTGCGAAATCAACTCACAGCGACGACAATTCAAACCGAATTGTGTGATAATACCCAAAGATTGTACGTAAATGTACAGTGGCGGGTGACTAATCGGTAACAAAAAGCAATTGTATTTTAAATTGCGTAAATGTCTACAAAAATATATAGAATTTATTTTCTACAGGACGGAGTAAAAGAAAATCGAAAATTTTGGAAAATAGACATTTAATAAGTTCAACCTGAAGAATAAATTGAATAAGGCAACAGAAGTCGACCAGTTTTGGTCGGGATGATGGGAGATATGTTAGCTCTTGCGATGTTGTAATAGTGGAGCAGCTGTGACCGTTTTGCTCCTTCCGCAAGTAGTCGATGTAGATCACACCTTATGAAACCCAGAAAACGTTCTTTCGTCTCTCTTATGTACCACCCATGTTTTACCGACAGTCACGAGACAATGCAAAAACTATTTCAGATTTAGCTTACACTTTGTCAAACACTTTTCTGAAACAGTTCATTCTTACCCGAAGTGGAAAAATGTAGCAACCAACACTGTATTCGACAGCTTTCTCATGAACAATAATGAGTAAGCTTTCGGATTCTCATGAACAACACTTCAATCAGGATATCAACCATGCGATCGTTTGAGGTTCCTACTGTTTCAGATATTTGCAATACGGTATCTTGGAAGTTTTCGAGACATTTAGAGCCGCTCATCAAAAATCCACATGCGACCACGTTAAACCTCGTTAAACCAATTTTTGACGGTTAGTTTCGAAAGAGATAAATATATTTTGAAGAACGGTTTGATATGGTGTGATATTATTACAATATTTAACAAATAATTACAATAAACCTTAGGGACTTAGGAAGCTTGGGCTTACAAATGATCGCCGCAGTGTACTTTCGAAAACTTAGAGAACAAATGCTTAAAGTACCTATTTCTTAGCTGAATGGAGAAATATTTTTCATTGAATGTTGAGTCCTAAAAATCTCCTCTTGGCAAGAGTGGCGAAAAATCGAAAACAAGAAAGCTTTCTCTATTGCCAGTAGAGAGAAACTGACTATGGAAAATATTTTTTTTTCTAAGTAAAATGTATATAAGTATGAAATAAGTTCAGATATAATATATAATCCCAGGTTATTAAAAAATGCAATTTCCGTTCTATTAGGAAATTAATAGCTCTTATTAAACAGCATAACTGCTTTTATGATCAATATTTCTTTTAACTACAAGCTTACATATGAACATACAGTTATGGGGTTATTGATCAAGAAATGGTTTCATAAATATATACAAAAACAACAATTATGTATATCGACTGCTTTGTGCAACGATCCGTAAAATAGTTCACAATGATTTCTTCGACATGCTTGGTTACGTTCCATATATGTAAATACATATATACATATTACTATATGTATATAATTAGTTAAGGCCACCATCTGTTGATTAGTAACTACAATTAGTTGTCATACAAATACATAAACACTTATAAGTATATTATAGGATATATGCCATATACATTTGAATTATATTTAATATAAATGTTTATATATCTGTAAATGTGTATGTAATCAACTGAATGGGAAATGTCGTTTTCTCACATTCTCTTTTAATAATTTGTGGTGTCATTTTGCTCACAACTAATTAAATCCTTCCGCCTAAAATTAATAAATTAACTAAATGCTGTCCACCACAATAATTCATCAATATAATAATGATATAACTATGTATCCATCATAATTTGTAGCCTACTTTGAGTATTAATTAATTTAATGCGATTTAATGATAAAATAAAGAGACGGGATTTCCCATAGAAAAACTAAGTATCAAATGCACTAATAGAAATGAAATTCAGTAACTATGTGCATGAAATGTATAGTGTATACCGATATGTGTATTAACCTCCTTTTATATACATTTTTTTTAAGTAATTTACTCTAAACAAATCTTTAATAAATTTCAAATACTCACAATACTCACTTTATCACGCTTACCTCGTACGGCCTTAAAAATATACTTCATCATTTCGCACAAATATATCCACATCAGATACATATATCTAGTACATACAAACCTATGTAAATATATCAGAATTGTTTTTGAACGCCAGATAAATTAAGAAATAAACAAAGCTCTTCATAGAATTCGCATAATATTATATATTTAGCCAAAATAGTTTCTTAAATTATAAGTATATATGAGATCTACATATACATATTTCACATTTGAGTCATTTCAGCCGTATCATTAGGTGCAACTTAGCACCACATATTTCGATAAACTATTAAAAAATCCTTTACAAAATAACAACGCGACCCTGCATAAATCACACGCTGTCACGCATTAAAACCACACACTAAATCACAATTACATACAAGCACATATAATCTGCATTCAGTCATTCATCGAAGCTAGCATAAACATCCATCCCAAATTGGCGGGTCGCGATCGCCATTAAAGCTCCCAATCCGTACCTAATTTACCTCCATCACCCAATTAACATGTTAGACAAACCGCCGCAAACAGCAATTGCTGGCTAATGCTATAACAGACCACGCTTTGTTGTTAGTGTAAAGCCCCGCGCTTTGTCAGCTTTGCTTATTTACAATAACCGAAAAGTTTCGGTACATTTTCATGGATTTTGAACGCATTGAAAGTTAACGTGATACGCTAAAACTCGGATTTCGTAAATTTTATTACATTTTTTACTGTAAATGTATATCATATACATTCATAATTAGCATTGAAAAAGATTTTCGACTCAGAATTTCTTAAAATAAAACGAGCTGAGAGTAAGATGGCAATACTCGACTTTGATCGCCAACTATCAGCTATCAAGGATGGCATACTGTCAGCATGCGATGATCTCATACGGACTGCCATACCTATTAATGCTTAACAACTACAGGCGCCTTTAAAATGTATTCCGTATTTTAAACACTGATTTCTCAAACATATTTTTTTATTACACATAATTTAATATACATTTTACATTATTTACATTTGTATAAAATATATTATTATTTCTTCTTTTGCATTTTATATTTTATATATCATTCAGTAATTCTCCAATTTGTAAAGCTAAAATCATAATAAATAATAATATGTCTATATATTACCGTTATAATTCACTCCATATAATGTATAGGTTTAATTATAAATATTTCAAAGAAATTCCCTGGGGTCAGTGATCTGGCAGCAACCTTATTCAGGCTTTGTCTAAATAATATGATCGATCACGTATTCTTCCAGAAACAAAATCCATATACCATACATATGTATAAGCCCTGAACCAGAAACATATTTACTGATTTTTTTAAAACCGGACTTGTTCTGAGCGCCATCTGATGTTCTACATAGGCTGATGTTATCTTGTTAATACGAATTAATAACTCTAAGTTTATTACATCAATAATTTTTATAGATTTTTTTATTGTTTTAAAATCTATATTTAATTGACTTATTGTTTCTTTTATCTTTACAGAACATTTCCTAGTCTTAGCGGAATAACCAGAAAATATTACCATAGCGGTCTATTCACAAGGTACCGACGCATGGTACCATAATTGAGCGAATGGATTCGCAGAATATGAAGTAAGTAAAGACCAATATTTATAATTTAATATTTTTTAACTTCTTTGTCTCTCGCTCATTCGTTCCTTTTTAAACCCATTATATGAAGTACCTTCTCTTGTTTGCCTATTTACAGCCTAACAGCGGTAGCACCAACTATCTGAGCAATCCGGAAGCTGCCAAATAGAATTTCTTTGTGAATCTCTTTGCGGTCTGGTCACTTGATCAAGGAAAGGTCGGTGCACTTGCGCAAAGAAAATTCAACGATCTACAGCGTTAGCCAGCATACCGAAGGAAATCAAATCTTCATAAATTCATTGCAATAGCGAATAGGTGCTCAGCAAACTGATCAATTACACGTTGCAGAGAAGGTTAAAATAGAGAAGGTTCATTTAGGACCAGGTGAGAATCGTTAAAGCTAAAAAATTGCGATGAGTGGTTTCATCACAGAATCGAGTGATAATAATGAATAGAATTAAGTCAGAAACTATTTGATATTACAGACGCGATATAACCTTTTCATTATATCATTTTGCGAAATTTTATGAATGCAAGTTAGCTTTCGGTGTTTAAAGGTTTTTTATAAAGAATTGATAAGGAGACGATTTAATTGTAGTGAGTTACTAAACTGAGGGTAGGTCAGCTCAGTTTAGGTCAGTATATAAAAATTAATGCAAGAAACACCTCCAAAGCTTCAAAATGTGTTTTTATTGCATACAGCACTGCAGGTGTGTAATATTCTTTTACATATCAAGTATATTTCTGGTTATTTACCTCAATTAAATACTTTTGTTATTAAAATAGAAAATCGTTGACAGTTTATTTACTATATCTTGCTTAAAATGATTCAAAGACTTTTTTGTTTCGTGAATATTTAGTCGCTACTATTTGTATAATGTTGGGTTTGCATTAGTGAATCCCTACAGTCACTTGACATACCTGAAAAAGTTAAATACTTTTTTTATACGTGTCTTTATAATGCGCCTGGAACTAGACTTATTGGCGAAAGCTCCTCAATAAAAGCTCTCGATATTACCATTTTTACAATATAATATTTCCAGGCCTTTCAGTATCATCCCTATGAATTCCTTTTTAATCACAGATTTGTTTTGGTAATTAATGGTGCTGTCTTGTAAGTTTAACGCTACTCTTGCTTGTTGTAACAAGTCTAATCCCATAATGGCGTCAAATGAACTTGAATATGTCATTGTCACTGCCTTTCCATATTCTGACTCTTGTGAATCAGGGGCGCATTGAACAACGTCAGTTTCTGACGCCTGGGCCCTGTTATTCTATTGGATATGTTTGGTCTGTTTCGGCCTTATTTTTGAGTTAGTGAAACTAACGCGCTGCCTAAACCTAGGACAGGAGTCAACTTCCATTGGCTCCGATGTTTGTCCCTGGTGTTCTCTTTTGTTTTTTATTGGTTTGTATTAAATTGTTGTTTTTTGACGAAATGCGGCTTTCTTTCCTTACCGCGCCTCCTATACTCTTCTTTCTGCAATGGCTTTGGTATATGAGTTCGGAAATATACTGCGTTCTATGTTAGCTTCTGTCTCTCTCTCCAATGCCAAAGCAGATGGTAGGTTCTTTGGTTGTTTTGGAAAGACAATAGATCTAAGCGGCTTCTTTAGACCAGAAGTGAAGACATGAAGTGCATCGGCTCTGACCTCCTTATTAAGCCTGCTCCGCTTTATGAGTCATCACAATTTTGTTGTTAACTAATGTTAATTTTTTTCAACCTCTTCGTATTACTCCATTAGACTTAGCTCATCCCGTCTAACCATTTCAAGTCCTTGCCTCAAAAGCCGTAGTGAGGTTTTAGCTGACAGCACTCTGCCCTAACTCTTGCACTTGATTTGCATTCATTTCAAAGTGAACTTCGTTTGGTACTTGGCTTTCGCTAACTTCTGTGTCCCACTCAATTTCACTTTGCACTCAACTTTCATATTTTTAAGTGTGTCAACCCAACTCATATTCGTATGTGCTATTACCTCGCACTGGAATTTGGTTTTATAATGGAATGTATTTAATTTCGATCAAACCGCATAAAGATTTGACGTATAACATTTAACGCAAAAATCCTTATTATAAATGTATTATTAATTAAATTCTTTTAATGTGGTAACTTGATATATTCACAATACACTTGCCGCTGACAGCGGTTTTTAGTTTTTTTTTGTGATGCACGATTTGAAATAATTTTGAATAAACTTACATATGTTAATATGGGCCATAATATATTTCTAATTCTATCTTAATGGTGTAGATCCTTGTTGGTTGGACGCCAATTAAGCTTATCACACAAGTAGATTCCTATGATAGAGATGATAGAGCTGGTGCCGGAGCAAGTACCTTTATTGTTATACTTTTAACTTCCAAATACCAACTGAAACTTAGGATACTAATTGACTGCAAGCCGACTCAGCATAAGCGATAACGTAGACATTTGCAGCTACCGTCAAAAGGTTTGAATTACTCGTATTCTTCTGACCAGCCATTAAATTCTGTGACTGATTTTATTATGTCCGGAGGAATATTGCAATTGATCTGTGGGTCCACAGAAATTCTTTTATAGGGCTAAACTTGTGGTACTTTGATACTCAAGTTATTTACCCGCTCATTCATAGCGTTGAGCTATGTTTGAAATCTTTGTTCTTGCTGCGCTAATGCTTCGCTAACAGCGGTGACTATTAATGCTTGCATTTGGCTAGCGTTGTTTTCTATGTCCCACTCAATATCACTGTCGCACTCGGTTTTTATATTGCGTAACGCGTTTAACCAACTCATGTGCTCATGTGTATAAAACAAATTTTTAGCAGCGGCTTGAATTTATTTAGAAAGATTTGTTTTTTATAGAATAATTATTTTAGCCGACACAAAGTATATATATATATTTTTTTTTTTAAATAACTCGATATTTCACAATCACATCTGTTACTGTTAGTAGTTTATAACTAATTTGGTGCAAGTAATTTGGAGAAAATCTTAAACGAACTTACATGGTGTGGAAGGTAGAGTAACTCTAACTCTAACTAGGGTGTGAATCCTTGTATGTAGGGCGCCAGTTATCGGGTTGCGGTCCCGCGTTGTTGAAGGAAGCCTAACAACGCGTGCTAGCTTAGATGTGTGCAGTCAATGCACGAGATGATTATAGTTAACTTCTTTGGTCTATTACGTTGGGAGCTTTACTTCGCTCTCTTATAGCTGGCCGTGTGGCTCAGTGGTCACATGCTATGTGACATCTATGTGATTGGGAAGTTGGTACTTATCAAAAGTAAGGATACAGACTCCGGTATGTTTTGGTTTTCAATCTATGTTTTTGCAAAATTTGTACACTTAAACAACACCTTGGTCAGATAAGTTTTTAATGATTTCCTCTTCACTTAGGTCGATTGGGTATAGGGCATATATTGTGCCTTTAATATAATTGAGTTTTTCATGGTATTTTGTATTCACTTCACAGACACCGTGTAAAAATTTAGTACGAATGAACTTTTCGGCGGTTGATTTGGCTTTTAGTAATAGGTAAAGACTTCCGTCGCGTAGTTCTGTGATTTTCATGACTTCTTTGCATACTAATTTTAATGCGGAATGAATTGCAAAGCATTTATTTAATGGTTAATTTATATCAACGAACGATATTACAACGTATTTATGATTTTTCACTTCTATTTCTTGAAAATTAGGAAAAGGCTCAAATTGTTTTTTTATTTTTTTTCGTTTTGGTTGGAGGTCAGACGCCAGCAAGGCAAGTCTGTTATCCCCAAGATTGGGAAGCCCGGGGGCCATTGTTTCTTATGTCCCAAATTATAAATTTGTAATTACTATACACTTCTTTTTGTACTAAAAAGTTCTGAACGGCTTAGTTCAAAGAGCAAACACAATGTGAGGACAACGAAAAGGAATAAAACTCATCTGCTCGGCACGAGGCATTGTCGGTGAATGACGGGTTGTGATTTATAAAATAATAAGTTTTTTGTAGCGAACCATGAAAGTCGCCTAGTAATAATAATTTTTTCGAAGGTTTTACTTAAGCAGGATAGCAAGGAAATGCATCTATAAGAACTAGTCAGACTCATTGGTTTATTTGGTTTAATAACTGGGACAATGGTAGCTATTCGCCAGTTATGTGGGCATGCATAGTCTTTTTTGGCTGCTGTAGATGGGTTCGCAAGCATCGGGTAGGATATCTTACCGAAGCCTGGTGTTTTGACTTTTGCATGTTGTACAGCGGACTCTAATTCGCAGAAAATAATTTCGCACTCTAAACTTTTTGGTGATGAAAACAGATTCGTTGCTGTATAGATGGCAGATAACCAATGTTGTTTCTCTGCGATGCATTCTGCAGTGAAACTACTATCTTGCGAATATGTTGACCAAAGATTAGCGAAAGTTACTGCGATGTCTGCAGAGTTGGTCAGAAGACTTTGGTTTGTTTCAATAATTTTAATAGGGCTGTGAGGGATTACAGTCAAAAGTTTAATGTCTGACCATATATTTTTGGTAGTCGAAGCAGGGGAAATTTTTGAAGTGAATACCTCAAAACTTTTCCTTTTAGCAATCTTTGCAGCTCTTTTAAAAAGGGCGTGTTAATTTTTTTTTATCACGCATGTATTAAATATCCTTGTTCCACCAGACAGGAAAGTCTTTTGAAAACGTGCGTTTGGTTCGAGGAATCGGCTTATTTGCAGCAAAGCGAACCAGTTTTGTGAACGCAGATGTGGCTTGGTTAATGTTGTCAATTGGAGTGATGGGTAAGCCTTTTAGGATTTCACTTTGAAATACGTTCCAGTTTGGGCGTGAAATTATAAATTTTGGGAGATGTTTATATTTGTCAAAGTGGAAGTTTGTTTGAAGGGAGATTGATATAATATATTTACAGTGGTGTGAGAGTCAACGTCTGGATTTGTTCTTTCTATATTTTCGCTGGAACTAATAATGCATGAATTGGATGCTTTTGAAGCATATGAGTTACTGGATGAAACAGCTGGTGTTGTTTGTTGCTTATAAATTTTTATTATTTCGCGCATTGAAGATTTCTTTATTGTTTTAACTTTTATAATTTATTTCGCTTGCGAAAATTTTGTACAGTATTTAGATTATGATGCATGTTGTTGGCAACAGTTGATGCAAAAAATGCGTTCGCAATCGGCTGGGGTATGAGGAGGAAGGAAACAATTTACACAAAGAGGGAACGATCACAACGCTTTGCCGTGTGACCAAGAAGTTGGCATTTTTGCAACGCATTGGCGAAGGAACATATTGACGTACCAAAAGTTTACACCAAGCAACGTCGATTTTATTCGCTAACTTGTAAAGGTTAAAAATTAGTAACAAAAATCCAGAGAGGTGCGGTTTACCTTCAATAAACTTATTAAATTTAAACACTAACACAACACTTTGAGAGCTGAGCTCATTTACTTTTTCCTCCTCTGGTACGTTGTGTAGAAATGGAGCAAATATCGTGCCCTTTACGTGGTTGAGAGTTTCGTGTAGGGTGGCTGATATGGAACATATGTTCAACAGTTCTTTTACTTTGATGCATTTTTTCCCAACTTCGTTATTCTTAACAAGCACAAGCAATTTTCCATCTCGTATGATAGATATGGAGTGGATGTCACTGCTAATTTGCTTAATAGCACGATAAATGGCAAAGCAAGAATAGGAAGAAAGGGGTTTGGCCGTGTCAGTAGCTTCAATCACTACGAATTTTGGGTCGTCAACTTTTAACTCAGGAACTCTTTAAAATCCATAGTCGAGACACTTATACCAGTTTTCCATTTTTTTTTTTTACCAGGTCCCGTATCGAGTATGGCGAAACGATTCGCCTCGATATTTTAAGGCCCCGCGGCCATTTTGAACGTGGAAACTGACTCAAAAAGTTTCCGCTAGTGAACAGTAGAAAAGAAAAAGTAAAAAAGAAGAAAAGTCCGAAAAAGAGGGAAAAATTAACCGAATAACTAAATGTAAGTAAACTCGAATAATTTTTTCCTTTGTTGATTCGCTGGTATTGTTCACTTCCTCTTTCCCTGGAAGTGACAATACTTGTCCCACGGTGGTTTATTTTATTTCCTTTTTTTTCTTGGCACTTTATATTTTTTTAAAAGTTACTTATTATTTACGTGGCACTTTTTTTGTGGCACTTTATTATTATTTATTTCACACGCGGACCGCTTTTCTTCATTGGAATTACCGAAGTTAACTGCTCGGGCGCCAGTTAGGTTTTCTTCTACTAAAACCCGTAAAAAAATATAAAGATATATATTTTTTTAGTGGAGCGTAACTCCTTTATTGGTTGGTATAATAATTTACACTCAATCCTAATTCTATTTTTACTTAACATTAAGCTTAACTTCTAAAGCAGCGCTGCCGCCGTTGTTTACGGGAAACGGTTGACATTCCGTTCCCACAGGAAACAAGTGTTCGGTCAGCACTTTTTAATTGCGCGTGCAATATGGCCTTCAGGTGAAGAGTCGTATTGCACTTTACGTTTAGTTTGCGAGTTTGATATTATTAGGGAGGGATAGCTTATTTGTTGCTTACTTATTCTCCTTTCGAAGCGATACAGATATGCCACCCTTTTTCCATTCATCGAAACATGCCTTGTAGGCATGTTCGGGATCGCCTTCAGTTCCCTCTGTGAATTTGCTTTTACGGCTCACTCTCTAACACTCGCATGACGATTTTCGAGCACGATTTCCTTCACTTTTTTGATGTTATCGCCAGTGGTAGACATCGAAGAACGACCGGAACGAGGCATGTCTTCGACAGTTTCTTGACCATCCTTCAAGGTATGAAAGCTTAACATATTTTCTAGCTTTATTCGCTTATATTGTGGCAAACAGAATTTATTTAATAATCATTTCATGGAGCGAGTGTCTAGTAAAAACCTAATTTTATTCTTGCCTATAGTGAGTTCTATTAGCGGTAGACAGGTCGATGGGTGGCTGTGAAAATTTGTTTTCTCCATGTGATCTACCTCAAGCGGCTTTGGTGCTGTGTAATTATTGCATCTCAGTGTGGATCTAGCCGATCAGGTTGCCAATATTGCCTGATGAAGCGATCATGTTGTCCTGAGTTATGATAATTTTGACTGTATTGTCCTGAGAAACGGTCCTGAAATACAATTGTTTTGTCTGAATTGTTCAGAAGAATGGTCCTGTTGTCTTGAATTATAGTAGTGTTGCCCTTGTGATTGATCTAGATGGCCTGAAGTTCTGAAATTCTGTCAAAATTGTATCAAGGTGCGTGACTGTCTGATGTAGTTATCGTGGAAGTAAACCTGTTTTTTCGAGTGTATAATAGGCTTCCCTCTTCTTTTTCTTTATATACCTACTATGAATGATGCTTCGCAATGTGGGTTCATTGCCGTTCAGAAATGTTTTTAAAATTAATGATTCGTTTACGCTAGGAGAAAATTCTACAGGTCTTGTTTGATCGAATTAATATTTATTATTTATTTGATATAATATAGATTTTAAACTGTTGTAGTAATTACTCACGTTAGTATATTTTACACGAATGGCTTGGTTGTAGAGGCCCTGGTACGTTTCTTTAACTCCGAAGTTTTCGATGAGTTTAGTTAGTAGTTTCGATGCCATACCATGTTGCGGAGGGACTCAATGTCCGGATGGCTTGAAATGCTGCTCCTTGAATATTGGTCTAGATGTGCCGCTCGAAGATGAACTGCTTAAATTCCGGATTATCATCGAACAGTGGAACAATAATTTCTACTTCTCTCAAGGAGGAAGAGAGATCATATTCTTCGTTGATGCCATAATACGGTTTTATTCTTGCGGCTTCCTTTAATAACTCTGTTGCTGAAACTTGGTTGGCTATTTGTTATATATTTCGCTTATTTTGTATTTTTTTTACTTATATATATTTTATTTTTATATATATTCTTTTTTTTTATTTTGTATCTTAGGGTACAGTTTTTTTACTAGGACTAAGCTTCAGTTATTGTCCGGCTCACTCTGCTTTTTTTCGGTTGGACTTAATTTTGATTATATTTCCTTTATTGTATGTCTTAGAATATATTTTTCACACTAGGACCTCACTTTGGTTATTGTCCTTTCACTTTATATCTGTAGATACATTATTTTTTCAACCGACTGCGACAATTAGGTCGAATGTACCGGTGGGAACCTAAAAAAACACACAATTCGTTTAATGTTGACGGTGTCACTTTATTTTACATTCTCCCGTTTTGTTTTTGCAATTATTCGCTTATATTCTGCAATAATGTTTACTTAGCTGAATATGTCATTTGGCTATGTCACCGACATTAGGAAATACGGGTCGCTGGCACTTTGTGTTTGCATTGCCAAAAATGCATTTGTAATCAGTTTGACGAAATCGGCATTATTGGTGCAATTGGGTCATTGGCTTTATGATGTCCAACAAACTTGTAATTTATCATCATTATTTGTTTTAGTTTTGGAATGTTGCGGTGACGTAACCCATTTGGTGTCATCTGATCTCGGTGTCGGTTAACCGTTTGATGTCCAAGTCTCAAGTTTTATCCTTAATATGAGGCAATAAAGCTGTGTAAGCCAATTTCGGCTTACGTGGCCTTAACTTATATAAGACAAAGTCGTATTAGTTACACTATTTATAATTCAAGTACGCCTGAACCAAGTCGGTTGAAAGTTGGTGGGGAGATAGCTTCGAATCAGGGGACGGACATAGGATACTTTTTATCTTTTGAAATTCATACTTATGTATATCCCAACAGAAAATCGCTTTGGCAGTTGCATCCCCATGAATTGTGCCTGCTTTGCTAGATTAAGGGCGCACAGGGATTCAACAAACTAAACGCACCATGTAAAATAAAAAATTACCCGAATAGTTTCAGTGTTGAGAACAAGTTCAATCCTAATTTGAGATGTGTGCATAAGGGCTCGCAAATATTCTCTAAGCATTGCACAGAACAATGCAAGATGATAAATAGCATGATGAATTACTCAATTCTGGTGATTTCCGACAGATTGGTCAGTATGTGCTTTTCTTGATTCAAGAATAACCAAAGTTTAAACAATTGTTCCTATAGTGAAGTGTCTGGAAATAAAAATTAATTACTTGTGAAAGTTAAAAGGCTATGAATTTTTAACTTTCTTTATTGAGATATATTTATTTTATATATAAAAGAACAAAAATAAAAGTGCCGTTGCTGTAAAAACCGTTCCTTTATCAGGATGTCGATGTTTTATGATTGCTGAATGCTGACTCTGGATGGATCATCCGATTCCACCGGTGGATCATTTATTTAACACTTTGGACCTAACAGTTTAATTTCAGAACTACAATTAGTGGTCCATGTATGAGTATTGACGAACTTTATTACTTGATAAAAAGGTTGTTGTCGGTGATCTGATATTTTAAATCAATCGCTAATTTGTTGACGATAAATGAAAATGAAAATAAAATATCAAATTAGTTTCTAAATTCTTCTTAATAATCATCTATAAGTCAAAAAGATTACTGCAAGTCTTATTGAACCAGTAATTAAAACCAATGCGTACCTGAGGACCTTTTACTCACTTCGAATTGACATCTATATTTTAGTTGGTTCGAACTTCGATCTGTCGTTTTTGGTGCACTGATAATGGTAATTTTCTGAGTTTCTGAACAATTAATGCCGTGATTCTCTCACAATAACCTTTCCTTTTGCCTCATTTTCTGTTGTTTGCAATCTTTGCTGCACAGTTCCCTGACTTTAATGATAGTCATTTCTTCTATACCCCATTGATGATCTAGCCCTGTTTGTTGTGTTTCCATAATTTAAGGCATCAAGTAAATAAATTACTTTAAAATTGACACAGATATAAAGTACAGATTAAAGTTCATATTACTATTAGAAAGTAACAGTGACATCGTAACGCTAATCAGAAGAAGGAAGTTGCTTTTTACAAATTAGAAGCTTTAACACTCCAGTTGCCTTGCACCTTATGAACACTGATATTTGATGTTGTACAATTTACGTTCATATCACTTTTGGTTACAGTTCAATCGCTCACTGTCTAAATTCACAATTGGTTTTAATTAAACTTTAGTATACCTTTGTCCAAATGTTTGGAACTAGGCTTATTTTCTAGGTACCTGTACTATTTAGTAACAGACCACGTCGTACTTGACGGCCCGAATCGAGAAGGAAGTTGCTTTTTTACAATTGCTCAGGAACACTCTCAGTGCGTAACTATGAACACTTGATATTTCAGTGTTGTACCAATTTTACGTTCATATCACTTTTGTTACAGTTCAATCACTCACTGTCTAAATTCCACAATTGGTTTTAATTAAACTTTAGTATACCCTTTGTCAAATGTTTTAGGAACTAGCTTTTTTTAATTTTACTCTTGGCGAGATCTAATTAACTTTCAGTGCTTCGCGGACTAGACAACCTAATTATAGTGGGTAACTAAACTGAGTTTTCATTATTTCTTATCCTGTTATAAATATTTTGCTTAGGTCTAGATACAAAAGCTCAGTTTACTTTTTATGAAGTGCAAAGCTTGTGTGTTAAATGTTGATGTGTGTACCCAAAGCGTGGCATATGTATTCAATGATGACCGCCTACTAATTATAGATTGTAAATAAACGAATCTGTAAGTGTATATTCCTTAACATTGGATTTGGCATTATTTTTCTCATTTAACACTGAANTGGAATATTTTGGTGAGTTTTACATACATTCCATATTATTTATAAGTTTATTCAGTTTTTTATATATAACTTATGTACTTTTCTTTATTAACAGAGTCAATTAATAAAACATTAAAAAATTAAACAAATGTATTAAATATAAAGTTATAGCAAGCGTCCAATCTCTAAAAATTCTGGATACATTTGTAGGGCAATTTATTCGTAAAGTACAGCGACATGCTATAAAACAAAATATAAAAACTAAAAACAAAGAAGGTGCGGATTTTTAATATCTAAAAAATAAAAATTCCCCAAATCGCTGACGCAATATGGAGAGAAAAAATTTTGTAGGCGGGTTGGTCCTGATTTTCTTGGGAATACGAAAGCTGAAATCTACCGAAAAATAATTGGAGAACTTCTTCCGGCTTATAAAGCGAGAGTATCCACTATGTCACTTAATTTGGTGCTAGATGGTCATGTTAAAAGGTTTTATCTGAAAATCTAGAAAACGCTAAGCTTCGAATTGCTCAACCATAAAGATTTTTGTGGGTCGATTCGCCGCAAAAATCCAGTGGAATCATTGAGAAGATAAAAAGCGCCAACTTCGACTGCACCGGACTTAT